GGGTTAGGGTTTGGGGTTAGGGTTTAGGGGTTTAGGGGTTTAGGGTTTAGGGTTTAGGGGTTTGGGGTTTAGGGATTTTGGGGTTTGGGGATTAGGGGTTTAGGGGTTTAGGGTTTATAGGGGTTTAGGGATTTTGGGGTTTAGGGGTTCAGGGGTTTAGGGTTTAGGGTATAGTGAAGCTAATCCTCAGAACTACTACGGTGGATGATAGAAATCCTGCATTACCCACAATAATTAAGGAATATACCATAGTTCCCATCGTTTAGGGTCCTTCAGGTCATGCCGGGTTTATATATTTTCAACAGTAGTGTTTAGGGTCGTTTTCAGGGTTTTAGCGTTGGTGTTCATATCAAAATCAACCGTATTATTATTGAGGGGGCTTTGCGAGGGTCTTCCAGGTGCTTGAATAAGGAGGTTTCAGCAGATGTGTGTGAGGTTTGGTGAGGGTTTTCAATCGCAAGCTGTTTGCCGGGGTTTATACGTCTTCATCCGATGTTGGTGTGCTTTCAGTGTGTTGAGGAAATTCGATTCTAAACCCTAAACCCTAAACCCTAAACCCTAAACCGTAAGCCGATAGATACGATAGCAGCAACCCAGGCTTCTCTCGGTGCTTTGCAAACTCAACGTGCCCCTTCGCGGTACCGTGAGGTCTCTGCAGGACGTTGGTGCCGTTGTCGGGTTTTAGGGGGTTTTAGGATTGAGGCTTTTTACGGCATGTTAAAGGGTTTGGGGTTTTAGGATTAAGGCTTTCTACAGCATCTTATAGGATGTGCTCCGTTTTCGAACTGGGTTTCGGGAAGTTTCGGGTTTCATTGGCTGTCGCAGTCTCTGCAGGACTTCGGTGCCTTCGTGAGCCTCGACGCCACTCCCAGGGACCTGGCAGTGCAAAACAAGCAGCTTGGTTGAACTTTACAGTCACTTTATAGCTTTATCACTTTTAGGATTAGCCTTTTTTGATATTAGGGGTACTAAAAGTTATACTTGTAGCAAGGTAATAAAGAGCAACCCAGGAAGCTGGTGTCTGGTGGCCGACTACCGAAGGGCAAGGGCAAGAGCAAAGGGAAGGGCAAGGGCAGCCAGGTTGCGTTTAGGAGCCTCTGTTCAGTTACTATAGTATCTATACGGGCTTTAGGAGGGACCCTTAATAGGGACCCTATTAGGGGTTCCTCCTAAAGTCCTTAGATAGTAGGTACAGAAAGAGCATCGTAGTTACAAGATGTCGGCATTACTCGCCCTAAACCCTAAAACGCTAAAACCCTAAACCCTAAACCCGAAACGGTTTAGGGTTTAGGGTTGAACAACAAGAAACAGGCAAGAGCGACGGCGAGACGAAGATGCTGCAGGACGGGTGAAGACTTAGAGACATCTGGGGAGGGGAAGGCAGAGGAGGATGAGGCCTTTGGGGACACGAGCCCTAGGGTTTAGGGTTTAGGGATTTAGGGTTTGAAGGTTTTAGGGTTGAGGGATGATGGTGCCGAGTTCTCTGAATTCTCTTGATCCTTATGTTCATCCACTTGAAGGGTCTCGAATCCATGTTGCTCATCCTGACAGACCTATGCCCTTCAGTAAACCCTAAACCCTAAACCCTAAACCCTAAACCCTAAACCCTAAACCCTAAACCCTAAACCCTTCAGACTTTGAGCAGCCCAAAGGCCCTAAGCCCCGAATCCGAAAGCCTCAGCCGCCAAGCCTAACAAGGCCCAAAACCTCCAGCCACGACGAAACCCTGTTTAGGGTTCAGGGTTTAGGGTTTAGGGTTTAGGGTTTAGGGTTTAGGGTTTAGGGTTTAGGGTTTAGGAAGGCTAAGCCTAACTCCCCAGGTACCTACTATATAGGGTATCTAGAGCCCCTAGG